AATAATGCGTTTGTAAAAGATTGAGATGAGTTTCACTTAAACCTAAAATGTCTATATTAAAATTTGTAAAAAAGGAATCAATAGTATTTAGTTTAGTTTCTGACTGATATTATGAGTTGCAAAGGATAGAAGATTCAGGTTATTAATAATATTTTTAAAAGAGTCGTTTGAAAGAAATTCACTATGTTCAGGATTCATTTGATGCAATCCTATATTGTTGTTTGTAGGATGTACACTCATTTGGAAGAGGTAGGTAATATTTGAAGGATTTGTTGAATGTTATTGGCAATGTCTTTGATTTCTGATTGAGATTGAGCAAATTGATTTTCAATATTGGTGACTTTGTCAATAGAAGATACATATATTTTTTGTGAAGAGAACTTGGGGGTGTTTTTTGGAGTTTCAGGTGAGATTTCTTGATGTTTCTCAAATTCAATTTCACTATTGTAGACTCCTTTAGTATGAACTATGTTATTACATTTTTTTAGTTTAGTAATGCGATAGTCTATATCTTCTTGATTTTCTTGGAGAATGATGATTTCGTTTTTTGTTGCGACAATATCATCATTAAGAGCTATAAGTTTATTGTCAATTTCATCTAAACGTTTTAAGATATTTTCTAATACTACTGATATATTTGAATTTTGAGAATTATTTTTTGAGTTATCAGGACTATTTTTTAAAATCACAGCATATGATCCCTTTTGGTTTTGTTGTGTTTGTGTATTTGCGGTATAGTTACTGGGACGTTTGTTATTATTATGAGGAGGTCTGTAGGTTGCAGGTTTGAAATGATTATATAGTTGCCTATAAGGGTTAGAGGGTCTTTGAGGAGTACAATTCTTAGCTTCATGATCAGAATTACCACATTTACGACAGTGAGGTATAGCAGAATTGACCCAGAATAGTACATTGAACTTGAATTTATGTTAGAATTTAAATGCTGAGTCAAAGTCGTCTTGATTATTAAAATTGATATATGCATAGGGGCGATTACGATATTGAAGATCTCTTAAGATAAAACAAGATTTTGCTTTAATAGAATTCAGAAAAATTGATAAATCCCTTTGTGTTGTGTTAAATGGCAAGCTAGTTAATTTTAATTCAAATTGTTGTCTTAAGATAAGTTGCATAGCATCGAGATCAGTAGGTTCAATACGGACTGTGAAATCTAATAATAGTAAAGACTATTCTTCGTTATAGAATGATTTAATAGCGTCAGGTGATTCGTAAACAATGAATGCGATTTGCCAGGATCCTCTGGTGATCATTGAAAATCTAGCAATTATATCACGTTGTTGGAAAAATTTCGTATTACATCTGATTTGACAAATAAGGGAATATTATTGACTTTAATGCATCTTCCTTTTTCAGCGTCAAGTCGTTGTTTCTTTGCAGATAGATTGGCAATCACAAACATGAGATTGTGTTGTGTCTCCTGAACTTTTGTTACTGCATGTATTAGTTGATCAATAGCTTAAAAATAAACAAAGAACTTTCTAAGTTTGGAGTTGTATGATGCTCCTTGATAACCAGAAAAGTTAACAAACAGCCTGTTAATGAAGTTCCGTTTATCAGCGATAGATTTACCAGTAATATCTGCAGCATCATCTGATGCAAAAAAATGCGTCAATGAAGTAATAATGTTGAAGGAAGTATCTTTTGTGTTAGAGTCACATGATTGGTCAGTTTCGTTTACATTATTTTCAACTTGATTAGCCTAAGAAAGTTGTTTATTCTTTCCTTTGTCAGTAGTATTAGCAGTAGTTGGGATTGAACTAAGATCGTTTGTTGTATCATTTATTGTATTCTTTGCATGTCTTGAAATATTAGTGTTAGCTTCTTGAGATGAAGAAGGTGGACTATTTTTCATTTTATCTATTTCTATTTCGTATACTTCTGAGTCTTCAAAGACAAAACCTGCCTCAGGAGTAAAGGAGGTTGTCTGTGTAATAACTGTTGTTTGTTAGGTAATATCTGGAACTTCAGTTGTTGTAAGAGTAGTATCAAGTGTAGAGGTATCGGTTTTTTATCTTTTTTTAGTTTTAGTAATATTATCGTCGTTCTTGTTCTTTTCATTATCGTTAGAGGATAGAACACTAGGTTCTTTGTTGTTGTTTAAAGCGTTTGAAATAATTTTGTTATAAGGTTCAGTTTTTTTTCTATATGTACTCTGTCTTCTAGTTGTGGAGACATTTTGGCAAAAAAGATCAGCGGAAAGAGTTTTTATTTCTTGTAATTTATTTAATAATAAGTTATTTTATATTTTTGTAATTATTAAATAATAAATTATTTTTAAAAATTAAAAAATTAAAAAATTAATATATATTGATATTATTCATTTTAAAAATTTAAAAATATTACTTTTTGATTGATCATAATATGATAATTTTAAACATTATATTTATCTTATTATAATCATTAGATATTAAAATATTTTAAGTTTTCTAAAATAATTTTATACTTAAAGTTTAAGGGATAATATTTATAATTTCTTAATTTTATAATAAGATATTATCACTTTTAAATATTAAAAATTAGATATAATTTTTTTTACTAATATAAGTATATTTTGTGATAAAATAAATAGTTTTAATTCTGAATATATAATTTATGGTTAACATCATTCTCTATAAAAAAAATACTAAAAAAATTAATAAATTTAAGTAAATTTAAATAATTATTTATTTATATATATTATATATAATAAATTTAATATATTATAATAAATATAATATAATAGCAATTTTAAAAAATATAATAACTTATTTTTAATTTTAAAAACTTATAACTCATTAACTATAAATGCTATAATATTATTTTAGATTAATTTAACTCTTATATTTAAAAAAAATATTTTATAAAAAATTAGCTAATAATACTAATTTTACGTAATTTAAAATCTATATTAAAAATATTATTTAATAAAATTTTAAGGATAGAAACTTTTTAAATAAGTTAACTATTATAAAATCAATATAAATTCTAATTTTCTCTAAATAATAATTCTAATAAGTTAAATTTAGTTAAAATTAGAAGAGATATTATACTAACTTTTTATTATATAAAATTGGTTAGACTAATTTTTTATAGTAAAAATCAATCTTTGTTACATAATATTTTCTGATTAAATAGTCTGATTTTGATTAAATTTAATTTGTTAGAATTATCTTATAAAGAAAATCAGAATCTAATATTAGTTTTATAATAGCTAACCTGTTTAAAAAATTTTAAACTTAAAATTTTATTAAATTATAATTTTTAATATAACTAATTAATTACAAATATTAAAAATATTATTTTAAATTTAATTTAATTCTTACATTTTGAAAAATATTTTATAAAAATTTATTAGTTAATTAATAATATTAGTTTTACATAATTTAATTTATAAGCTTTTAAGGCTAAAAATAAAATATTACATTTTTTTGATTGTAACTATATATAGATAGTAGGTTTATAAATATTATAATAATATTATATTATTATTATTAAAATAAATCTAACATAAAAAATTAAATAAAGTAAATTATTTAAATTTTTTATTATATTAAAAAAAAAAAAAGTATTAACTAGTTTGATATTAAAAAAATTAATTTAAAATTTCTTTTAAAGTTTAATTTAACGTTAAAAAAATCAAAAATAAAAAAAGAAGAAAAATACTTAAGCAATAATATTATAATATTTATAAACTTATTTTTCTAAATAATCTTAATTTAAAAGGTATTATAATACTAAAAAAATATAAAAATTAACAAAGTAATAAAAAATTTAATATTAAAGAAATTCTAAAATATAAAATTATTAAAAGATAAATAAAAAGATATAATTCATTTTAAAAAAAATATTTGAAAAGATATTAGAGAAAAATGTAATATTTGAAAAAAGTATACATTAAAAAAGATAAATACTGAAAATACTATTTACAATTAATTTAATAAAGCTAAAAAATAGTAAAAAAAACTAAATTTATTATTTTTAAAAATTTTCAAATTTCATTGTAAATTAAAAATATTATGAAATCTGTTATTTTTTAAAATTTTATGTGGTTTAAATCAATAGTTATAGAAATATATCATTAATTTATATTATATAAATTATTAAAATTTTAAATTTTAACTACAAGTTTAATTATATTATTTATTTTATCATTTAACAATTCAAATTAAACAAAATTTTAATATATTATATAATGATATTATAAAACTTGGATATTGAAATTAGCTAATTTAAACCACTAGTTTTTAAAATATTTATATAAATATATTATTAATAATAAAATTAAAACATGTAATAAATATTAAATTTTTAAATATTATATTTGTTACAAATTTAAAAAAGAACTAATAAATCAAAAAAACTAAATTTTAATATATTATTAATATATTCTCAAGTTATAATATATTAAAATTTTATTTAATTATAATAATAAGTTATTAAAAAAATTGAATATATATTATATAATAATTAAAGTTATTTATACAATATATTTTATATGATATATTTTAATAATTACTGATTAAATTATAAAAAACTTTTATCTATTTTTTTTTAGCATATAATTTATAAGTAATCTTTATAAATGAGAGATAAAATCTCTTAATAATAGTTAAAACTTAAATAAATTATATAAAATTATAATATATAATAAAATCAATTAATATTATGAAAATCAAAATTAATGAAACTAGTAAAAAATATGATTGAAAAATTTTTGGTAGACTTCTATACTTCTATAGTAATTATATTATATTTTAACCTTTTTTTAAAACTAAAAAATATTTTTTTAAAAAAAATATTTACTATAATTTTATAAAATGATAATCGTATTATTGTTAAGTCATGTGACAAATGAAATGCAGGCGTGATAAGGTGACAAATTATGAGAAGGCACGTGTTTTGAAAATATTTTATAATGGATAATCAACCACCCAAGTTTTTTCAATTTATTTTAATTGTGCTTTGTTCTATAATACAAATACCTTATTTATTTTTAAACCATGTCAACTTCGCGTTTGAATTGCCGAATTCTGTGGTCACCGCACAAAGATTCTAATTTATTTTTAGTTGGATCAAATAATGATTTAAGGTTATATGAATATATTCCAAAGGTTTGTCATAAAGCGCGCGAAATACCATATTTTTTCGATTCTTTACCCATTTTAAAAATTTCATTGGGACCTGATTAGGGACCAGCAAATTATAAATTGATTTTCGTGAATCCAGATATAGCATCAATGAGGGTATGTATTTAACTTTCATGATTTTCATGATTATCGTTTCATGAAATTCTAACTTTCCTTTATATAGTGCATTGCTTGGTCACCTGACTCTAATTTTCCAAGTTTAATTGCAGCAGGATTTGCCAACGGCAAAACATATCTTGTTAATATTCACGACGAATCAACATTAAGCGAATCTCATGTAAATAATCATTTAACGTCATCAAAACCATTTAATGTGCTTTCTCAACAACCACCATATGCAGTTTTAAATTCTAAAAATTCAAAACCATGTAACGAGGTAGAATTTTCTCTGGCTGATCCCAGATTATTAGCAACCGGATCTGATAAAGTTAGGAATGATTATTGTTTATTAATTTGGGATGTCGAAAGAGCTGCAAAATGTGGAGATAAAAATTATGGTAATACGCCTAAATTATCCGCAGAGATGCCTAGTAGAACCGGTAGCATTAGTGGTTGGAGTGTTAAAAGCGATCATAATGATGTTGGAGTTGCCCCCAGTGGATTTGGTGGGAGGGGAGGTTTGGGAATTGGCTCCTCTGTAATGGATGATAATTACACTTATCCATTAGGTATTGCAATAATACAAATAATAATAATAGAATCATTCTATAATAAAAAATCTAATATGTTTTTTAATAGAAATGGCAAGGTCTGGTTATTCAATGTATGAATCTCCATTCGTTCCAAGACCTCAACCCGCAACGAGGTGAAGATGACGTTATTTGATACAAAAGACAAATTATTATTTCTTTCCCGTTTGAATTCCGCTGAAATTTTTTTCTTTCCATAAATTTATTCCCTTATGTACGCGTGTGGAACATGTTAAAAAAGTTATAATACACGTACTGATGAATCAAAACCTATTCACACTTTTGGATTATCGGAATTTGTTAATTCTATAAATTGGATCCGTACAACAAAACAACTGGTTGCTGGAATGTCGGGAAAATTTTTGAAGATTTTTGATTTGAGATGTAATTATTTATGAAATTTATAACCTATTTTTATTTTTTTTGAAAACGTTAATAATTTACAATTATATATGATTTTTAGTAACGGAAAATCCTGCCATTACAATAACAACTAAAGCTGTTTTTGGGGTAAAGACTGATCCATTTAATGATCATAGATTTGCTAGTTTTGAGGAAATTAGCAGTAATATGGGAAATATTCTTTTATGGGATGACCGTAAAACTACGGAAGCTATATCCTTTTTTTTTTTAAAAAAAAAAAAAATTAACATTTTATTTAGAAAATTATTTCCATGACATCCTTGACGGCACCTTATTTTTCACGTCCTAAGCATATCCACCGAGACACGCCCAGCTCGAATTGCATTTTCAACAGTGCGATCGGGTTTACTAGCGTCCTTATCCAACGATACATCTTATATATCGTTATATGACATACAAGAAACTACATGTAAATTACAACCTTACTCAACAACTTTATCAAATAATAGTTCACCACTTGATGAAGTTGATCCTCTTAATTGTGGATTTGGTAATGATGGAGGAGTACCGATAGCGAAATCTACTACTTCTATGGGAAGTGGTGCCGGATTTGTTCCTTCGGCTGGTATTGTCATGGGTGCATCTAATAATCCTGCATTTTATGAAAAAATGAATGGAAATGGAGTTGGTAGTGGGGGTATATCTATTTCGGGCGGCAAATCCGATGATGAACTTGACATGCCTATATTATGGAAATCTAGGAAAAGTTTGTATCGGACTTATTTACCTATTTTTTCAATATTTAGAATATCTGATTGATATTTTACTTCATTCCAAATTATAAATTAAAAGCACAGAAATTATCGAAAGCTCTCGTATCTTTTGCTTGGATACCAACTATGTCATCGCCTCATTCACACCGATTGTTGGTGATAAATAAAGAGTCAACGTTGGAAACAGTCACATTGGAAGAATGTACTAATTTCGGTTGGGAACCACGCGGGAATATGTTAATATTTGGTCCAAATTCGGTCAAAACATACGATGTTGATCAAAAAATTCATGATTATGGCGATTTTGGAAGAGGGGATGATGACATTCGTGATAACATCGGTGATGATCTTCATCGTGGAATTTCATATAGCAATAATAATAATGAACCGAGTTTACATCATCGTAGTAATAATGGATCAGGTTATGGACATAAACATCGCGTTTCTTTAGATTTGAAGGTTGATAACGAATATGATAGTGGGAATAGAACACCTAGACCTAATGATCTGAGCAATTCTTCTAAAGATGTAAATGCATTAAAAAAACAATTAAAAGGAATCATGATGCATCGATCTCATGATGATTTGACGGTGGGTGGTGTTCCAGAAAAAGATGATGATAAAGCGCTGTTAATTTTGCCCTTAAAAACATTACAAGAAGATATTTCTGTTGTCATGCGTAAGAGGGCCAAACAAGGATATTCCATGATTGTAAGTATAAACAAATCATTAGATATCATATGCAAGGTTCTACTTTTTTTTATACCTAGTTCTATTTATATAGTGTCGTGCCAATGAAGACCTTGTAAGAGACTCTCCAAAATTGAGAACATTATGGAATTGGATAGCTCGTATGTTTAGCAAATCTGCGTTGTATTTAAATTATTAGGTGTTTAACCATGAATTTTTATGTTTTAACAGAAGCCGAAAAACTTTCTTTGGAAGGAAAATCAAATTTTCAAGGAATCTATTCAGTATGGGCAGGTTAATATTTTTTGATTATATTTCTGAAATTTTGTACACATTTTTAAGTAATTTAAAATTCTTTTACAAGTAGCATCCACAGGTGGCAGTAAAAGAGTGTCACCAATATCAACTCCAAAAGCGTCACCACCAAAATCTTTTTCTGAAAGATCTGACCAGGAAGGAGTCGATATAAATGAGATTCCTATCACGGTATCAACTTCTAAATTGTCACAAAGAAAATTAGCATTGACCATATGTGGATGGGGTTTTGGAAAGAAAGAATTAGAAGAAACACTTCAAAGGTAAGAGATCTTAATTTTTTTTTTTTTTTAAAAAAAAGGTATATTTTTTATTATATTGAATTATTCATGATTCCATTAGAATGGAACGAGCGGGTAATTATGAGAAAGCTGCTGGATGGGCATTATTTCATGATTTACCCAAAAGAGCCATTGCATCATTAAATAATAGTAAAGGTATGATTATTGATTTTTTCTAAAACCAATTTTGACTTATGAATAGGTCTAACGCGGAGTTTTATTTATTATTATAGATGAACGATTGAAATTAGTATCAACAGCGTTAGCTGGTTATGTTGCAAATAATCAAGAAAATTCACTTTGGCGTGAAATATGTATAAATCTAAGTACTGAAATGCGCAATCCATATTTGCGAGCAATGTTTTCATTTATTGCATGTGGATATTGGATAGATGTTTTACAAGAGGAAGGGCTTTCTTTACAGGATCGTATCGGCATTGCGTTGAGATCTTTGGATGATGAAGAGGTACATTGAAATAAGAAATGTTTTTTTTTGTTTTAAAGAAATATGATAATTAACGAGCATCCATAATTTATAAATGTTTAGCTCAATTATTTCTTACATGATATAACTGAAAAAGTAATTGCAACCGGTGATATAGATGGAATCATTTTAACTGGCCTTACTCCAGAAGGCGTATCATTATTTGAGAATTATATAAATAATACATGCGACGTTCAGACAGCAAGTCTGGCATTGAGCTTTTGTGTCCCAAGAAAATTCAAAGATTCAAGAGTGACAAATTGGGTAGAAAAGTAAGTTATATTTTAAGCCAATGGTTGGGGATAATAATTATATTTACCTAGATTTTAAATTTTTCCCTTAGTTATCGTATGCTGTTGGATCAATGGCAAATGTTTCATATACGAGCGAGATTTGATATAGCACGTGGTAAACATATGATATCTTCAACATCCTCGGCGGCAGATATGGTACCACCACAAGTTTACGTAAGATGTAATTATTGTAGTCAAAGTATTACACATAGCTTATTTATACCCGGTATGAAAGGCAAAGACGGAGAGAGATTTACACTACCAGCTTCGTATTATGGGGCTGCGGTTGGAATGATATCTAAACAAAAGGTATTTTCTTCGAAATCACCCGTTGAATCAAAACGTTTATGATTTCATTTAATAACTGTTTAACAACATCATTAAAGACGACTTGTTGCCCTGGATGTCGAAAACCTTTACCTCGATGTTCTATATGTTTATTGAGCCTTGGGACACCCACCGACAGTAAGAGAGAAGCCATCACTGCCAATCAGCAAAATGGATTTTCAAATGATAGTAAGTAAATTCAAAATTTAACCTTTTAATTGAAATAATAAGATTGATTTGTTTATTAATTTATTATTTTTATTTTTAGAACCATTTGGATTTGACCTTTGGTTTACGTGGTGTCAATCATGTCATCATGGAGGACATGCAATACACATGTTACAATGGTTTCAAAAACATAAAATATGTCCTGTTAGTGAATGTACATGTTTATGTGAAAATTGATTTAATTTAATTAATATTTAAATTTTTTATATATAATCTGTATGAAAATCTTAAAATTTGTAGATTCTTATGCAATGTATAACAATAATAAAATTATAATAAATTGTATTGATTTGATATTCGTGATATTCATAATAAATCAGGAAAAAATGAACCTCATAATTTCACTTGTCAAAAATGCAAACTAGACCATTTACATATAGAACTTCGGGATTGAAAATGCCGAAAGAAAACCGGAAAAATTTTCATTTATTTAATTTTTGCTTATAAATTCTTATGGAGTATCCAATTCCGAATAGATTATCCTTAAATAGTAATTAAAGTTAATTACGGTCATACAGGGTTTTAATTGCAAATGATGTCGTAATATCTGTGCAACGTACAAGAATTGACCAATTCGGGAAATGCTTTTCTCTAATCAATAATCATTGATGAAAATCGTGCTTATTAATCGAATTTAATAAATTGATAAATTGACGAGAAAAAAAAGCCAAGTTGAACCTTTAATTATTTAAAATAAAAAATCATAACGATGAAGTTGTTTGATAATACTACCAGTAATCGAGTGATAATTTACACTGAAAATTTGATGAGGGTAACGAATATTAAATCTTTTAAGAGGATAGGCAATAAGAATAATCAAGAAGCAAGTATTTATTTGAAATGGAAAGTGAAAATTTAAAAAAAATTATCAATACAAATTTTTTGATTTTGAATTTTAAAATCATTTACAGTTAATTACTTCCCTTGAAGATACTTTTAAAATACTTTATAAACGACCCTCATGGACATTTGATAAAGTAAATAAAGTGTTGGAATTACCTGATCCATTTAAATTTAATCAGAAATTAACAGAAGATCGTGATGATTATGAGGTTACGGGTGGGTGCAAAAAACAATTTTTTTTCCATCTTTATCAAAAAAAGAAAAAAAAAAAAATATCTGATCTCTGACCTTTTACAAAATAGCAAAATTATTTTATTTGCCATCATCATCAACATCTATAATTGAGTCATCGACTCCACCATCACAATTCATCACACAATCAGTATATCATTTATTTAAATTACTTGGAATTAACACCATAGACACATTTATCATTTATTTTAATGGATTCATGTTTGATGGATCTAATGAAATATCGAACAAATTCAATAAAACATCTAATATGAAGAACAACAGAGATGATGACTTGAATAATCACGGCAAAAGTGATATTGATAATTTACTTGAAGCTTGGAAAGAATTGGAAACTCTTCACAAAAAGAATATGATTTATAAATTAGGCGTTAGCGAATTTACTAAAAATCAATTGGAAAATTTTATAAAGGCTGTTGAGGTGAGTTGATCATGACTTTCAAAAGGTTGAAAGAAATTGTTGAAGGTTAGATTGATTTATCCCCTTCTTTTTTTTTTGTTTTTGATAGGTTCCTCCAAAGATAGATCAAATTAATTTCGACTGTTGTGCAATACCAAAAGAGATTATTGAATTCGCCAAAAAGAATAATATAGAATTATTATCACATAATGATTCAACAGGTAATATATTTCGATTAACATGATATTCCTGTTTTGAATCAATCTAATTTTCCTTTTTTAACTTGATAATTAAAAATTTAGATATATTACCTTCCACAACTTTTCAAAAAATTATTGATGATGCTAATACAAATAAAGTTAGGCTAAACAAGGATTTATCACCTCGTTGGGTACTCAAGTATTCTGTAATGATACCAGATAGAGGGGTCATTAATAATAAAGGGTGAGCATTTGTTATAATTATAATCATAATTAATTTTTTTCTCATTTTAAAATGATTAAATTTTATTTTTTTTTTTTTTAAAAAAAATATATTATATGTATATCTAGGTATATTGTTATGGCAAGTACAACAAATTCAGATCCAAAATTTACTTATACTATAGATGAGATTGAAAAAAATGGGTTTTAGTTATTTAAATCATAGCATTATTTTATTTTATTTTATTTTATTGTTTTCCTATTCCTTAGAGAAAAAATAACGGGCTTTAAAGATGTAGTTATTTAAATTATAGCATTATTTTATTTTATTTTATTTTATTATTTTCCTATTCCTTAGAGAAAAAAAAAATTTGAATTTGAAAATTTTCCTTGTTAAAAATTTTTTTTTTTTGTATTTTATTTAATAAAAAAGGGTTGCTTTTTTTTGCGATGTTTCAACCATGTTGATCAAAATCTAAACACTTATCCTCTCTTCTGGTGTTTGATAATCTTTTGTAATTCCAAGCTCCACTTTTTATGAATATGAAAATAAATTGAGCCCCGAGAGCAGTTTCAATCTGTTTTTGGTCTTGGGGCATTGCAAATCGACTTTTCGTGTAATTTTTTGCAGTTCCCTTTTTTTATTTGTATAATAATGAATCCAGTTATTGAATTGGGAGAATCGCCTGTGATACATGGATCAAAATTTACCCTTTATGCGATTTTTTTTTTTTTTTTTTAATTATTCTGAAGTGATTTATTATATTGCGTAAATCAAATTTTATTGATTGATTCTGGGCTCCTGCACAGATTCCTAATTTGATTATTAACTATCTTATAGGTAGCGGTAGTTATTCGGTGTCGGATAATGTCGGATAAGTAATTTAACTTTGTTTTTATTTTTCTCATCACGAAAATAATTTCTTAATATTCTAGAAAGTACAAATTTTAATATTGTAAGTTTATAAAGTCCAAGTTTTTTACTATAAATAGATTTATTTAATTTTACATAATTCTCTAATGTGTTTAATAGAAAGATTCACAATCAATGAATAAAATTCAGATTTCAATACAAGCAAGTTTAATGCCTGATAAACGATTTTACACGATTTACCATCATTTTAATTATATGAAAAAAGATTACGGAATACCGGATGATTCAATTACTTTGAAATATCTTTATGCATAAAGCTCTAAAATGTTTAGAATAATTCTATCTATTAGATCAATAAATGAGATTTTTGAATTCATTGACACAATTGTCATCTGTGATAGACAAAATATTCAAAAAAAAAAAGAAAAAACAATTCAAGTTTTACGTCATCCGAAGCGTAGTTTGAAATGTCACGTGTGTTAATTACGTATCGTGATTATTCTTTAAATTTTATCATACACGGTTCTTTTGAACGAATTCTAATAAATAGAGGATTAAAAAAAAACGATGATAAATTCGTTTTAATATGAAGCTCACTTTCATTATCTTGAATTTTACTTGGATCAGTTTACGTCGAGCAACTTGTCACGTGATGGTTCATTACGTAAAAAATTCCGATCATTTTGACGGGACAAGGAGCTGATCCGACGATCAGGACTTTCACCCCCTAGCCAACTAATTATTGTTGATTAATAAAATATAAATAAATTAAATCCCTTGACTTCCGGATAAATTTTTGTTATAATCTTTATAAAGCAAAAATTAATCAAGGAGATATGTTTATTATAAAGCATAATTAATACACACCAATAACAGTGATTAAATATTACTCATAATTGATAACGGCAAATATAATCTACCGATTCAATTTTAATACGTTGTGTTACCAAAATATTGTCGCTCAAATTGAAACATTCTGCAAAAAAATAATCAATTATAAATCTCACGATATTTTTTTTTTTTTTTTTAAAAAAATTTTAAATTGATCTAATCTATTTCGTGTTTGACTAGAAGAAAAAAAAATGATTGTTTTGATTTTCTTAGTTAGTTGTGTCGTATTTGGAATCGCTGTTATAGGCTGGTTTGCTTATAAATTATACATTTGGCCTTATTATATATCTCCTTTGAGAAACATTCCTGGGCCACCTTCCGAAAATCTTCTTTACGGAAGTTTTAAGAGATTTTTCGTCGAAGAGGTTAATATATTTTAATATATATATATCAATAATCCTTTTCTAATCATAAACTTTTTAATTGCAAAGTTAACACACTTTCTTTTCTTTGTTTTGATTTTTGATATAGTCCGGTGAACCACACCTTAGATGGGTGAAACAATATGGAAATATTTCAAAATATCATGGAATATTAAATAAGCCAATACTTTTAGTTACGGATCCAAAAATAATTCAAGAAGTACTTTCAAATCAAGCTTATGAATTCATTAAACCATATCAGAATTTGGCTGATATGAAGGCTCTCTTTGGTCAAGGTATTGCTCTTGTAGAAGGAGAAACTCACAAGAGACAAAGAAAAATGATGAATCCTGCTTTCACTCACACAAATGTTAAAGTGGGTATATTTTTATTTCATTGTAGTCATAATATAATTTATATGGTTCATAATTGTGGCCGAAATACGTGTATATATTTTATTTCTTTTTGTGCACCATTTAGAACATGATTCCAACATTCGTTCGTATAGTTTCGGTATTGAGAGGGTTGATAGAAGACGAAGTAAATAAAGGAGAATCGAAGATTATTCTTTCTTCCCTAATCTCCAAAGCTACACTTGATATCATTGGCTTAGTTGGTAAGAGAAAGTGTGTAAAAACGTTATTTTTATGAACCTTGATAAAATCATTTGACTCCTGATTTATGATTGTTAGGATTTAATCATGAATTTAATTCACTAACATCTCCGAGCGAATTGGCAGAAGTTTATGATTCTCTCGTAAATGTCAAAATTTCCACGTTACCCGTCATTATCAGCCTTTTATCTTATTACATTCCATTTGTTAGAAAAATTCCAATAAGCATAAATAATAGGTTTAATCATGTGTGTAAAGTTATTGATCGTGAATCAAGAAAGTTGGTAGAAGAAAAGTATCGTGACGACAAAGACAACAAGTTGAATGGCAATGATTTATTATCTTTACTAATCAAACTTAACAAGACCTTACCTATCGAAGAGAAAATGTCTGACGATGAACTCAAATATCAGGTAACTAATCTTTTTGAGAAATATAATCGTCATTTATACAATTATTTTTGCTTTGGATTTAGATTATGACAATTTTGTTCGCGGGACACGAAACTTCAAGTACCACAACGAGTTGGGCATTGCACCTACTCGCACAACACCCACATGAGCAAGATTTGTTACGTGAGGAATTGGTTAAGGCTTTTCCTGACAAGTCAAAATTTAATCCCACTTTTGACGAAATCAATTCTTTGGAATACTTAAATTATATCATTAAAGAAACTTTAAGATTAATTTCTCCGGGTATAAACTTTAATTTACTTCATCATTTAATTTTATTAACATGTATACATATTGTTAAAGAAAAATTATTTTGACTGATCGATTATTTTTAGTTGTAATTATTCAACGATATAATACTAAAGATAGAATTGTATGTGGACAATTTATTCCAAAGGTGTGTTTACTTATTTATATACCTTTTGTATTAAAAGAAATATTCATATATATATATTTATTTCAAATTCCTAACGCTCTTTTATTTAAATAGGATACTTTAATTGAAATTCCAATTTCGGCAATTCATAGACTTCCTTCAATTTGGGGTCCAACGGCTGAAAATTTTGATCCGAAAAGATGGTCGGATCCTTCCTTAACCAAAACCATAACAAATTATCATTACATTCCTTTCATAACTGGTGCTAGATCTTGTATAGGTAACAAATTAGCATTAAATGAGATTAAGGTATTATTAAGTAATCTAGTTAGGAATTTTGTTTTTCAACCAGTTGAAGGATTACATATCAAGAAAAAACCTGGGTTTTTCAGTAAACCTGACCCACATCTCGAATTGATTGTTTCTAAAGTTGAAGTGTAACGAAGAGAGAGTTATTTTTGAAAGTCATATATTATTAAATAAATTTATTAAATATTTTTATCGGGAGCTCACACAAATCTTTTAAATCATTTGCGAGAAAATATCTTGAGAGGTTTGAGATTATCGGGTATTAGATAGATTTAGATCCGTCAGTATAGATGTTTAACAAACATTCAAATTTGTATTTCCATCACAGAAATTATCATGCGATTATATTACAGTTAACGCTTTGTTCTCATATGTGGTTTCTTGAATTCATGTACTGAAGAATTCAACGTTGAAAATTTGTTTTATTACTTAAAACAACCTTCAAATTTAAATCGCGAACGTGCGCCTAATTATTAGAAAATTAGGGGCTCCTATTGTCGTTGCTGAAGACGGTATAAAAGACTTGAGAGACATATTATATTCATAAATTGATCATCCGATATAGTTTTTTTTATACGAGATTTAAACATTTGTCTTTGCAAAATTAATAAAATTTGTTTTTTTGAGCTGGATTATTAGATTATTATTATAAGTGAAATATAATTATATATATTTAATAAACTTGAAACTTTTTTTTATAAAGAAATTAATTTAAAATGATTTTAATCTTGTGAAATCTAGTGCATTCCTATAAAATGTCTTGTTACGCCATTCATATTTCTTTGAAGCTTTATCTAAATACTTCATAAAATTTATATACTATTTGAATTTATTATAACTCTTTCATCAATATATGACTTTCTTCGTATAAGTGATTCCAAAATAATCATTTTTAACAACTTTCATTATAATCAAAGATAATATAGTTATAACCGGAAAATAAGAAACGAAAGTTTTGAAATTGAGTCTTTAAAGGAAAATTTCAAAAAAAAAAAGCAGTTGCGGATGAACTAGTTCGGCTAATCCATGATAAATTTTTAGATGTTCACGGCCTTTTGTCTTAAATTCAAATTTTATCTGAAATTCAATTTCAAGGTAACTTGATAATGCATGATAATTATTTAATATAATATATTGAAGCCATGTTTCACAATTGAAACTTGTTTTCCCGTTTGAAAAATCATTTTTTTAAAAAAAATATTGAAAATTTTTGTTCATTCGGATAATGATCATAAATTTGATTTACAATGATACGCCATACTTCAACTCTCCATTACCACCTAATATTCATATAGTTAGTAAGAATATTCATCAAGAGATGGAATTGTGAAAGAAATTGGCATTGCTTTAGGATTTGAATTAGGAGTTGTAATTGTACATATCTTGAAATTTCTACTAGATTGTGAAAAAATTGGTAAATCTGGTATTTACCGTAAGTATAATCTGTAGTTATTCATTGTTTGAAATTCAATCTTGTGTATGTGCGCACGCACACAATTTTTAACTTCCGCACATTTAAAGTTTACAATTTATATAATTTATATAAAATGCAACATATAGCATAAGCAAATTTCTGCACAAAAATTTTTGTTTTTGGATTTCTAACGGGTCCATAGATATTCATTTCACCCAGATGAATTTAATATATTATTTACCTCCACAAATATCAACTTACTCATTATTTATATACTAAACAGGTTTCTTTGTTAAGTCAACTTGATCTTCTACATAGGAAAGATCATGTGATGATGATCTTCCGATATCCTTAACGGGTATTCAGACTTCATGTGTGATCGACATTGCATACACCATTTTGAAAAAAACGGCGAATAAAAGTTAAATATTCGAGATGAAAAGGTTGATAGTGCTTCCTGATTGTGAATCCAAGTTCAACATTTTCTATCACATAACTGATTATATAATTTTTTTTTTGATGTTTTGGTAGAAGCTGAGCATTTTGAAACCGATATTTCGCCCAAACTCTTTTTTATTTAAAAGAAAATTTCTTCTTTACATCAAAATAATGTCAAGAAATAGCCGACGCAGATACTTTGCTCGTCGACAAGGTCGTATTACTCGTCAAAATGCTAGAAATTTAGCAGAACGTGTTAATACCCTTGACATTGAAAACCACCAACTACAAATGCAAATAATACAAATAGAAAATCAAGTAAGAAAATTTTCTCAAGAAATCAATCAATTAAAAAGTGAGTTGAGTGATGAAAGGGAAGCTACCATGACATGGAAGAGAAGATTTAATCGAGCAAGAACAGAAGTATCACTTGTAAGAGCAAGAGAGAAATATTTGAAAAAAAAGGTTAATCAATTAATAGAATTTAATAATGAAGAAACTAGTATTTGTTGGAATTTACGTGAAGAGATTTCAAGATTGAATAGGGAAATCGAGAGGTTAGAAGGAAATTGTAATAATAGGGGTTGGACAAGTGAATAAGATTATTTTGGTAAATGGTCTTGGTTAAATGTTGGTTATTTTGGAAATAAAACTTGCGATTTGATTTTAGTTTGTATATACACGAGCAATAAAGTAATGCAAATGTTTTTACATGATTATATTTACTTTATTAAGTTTAAGTCTCAAGAATTTATTAAAATAGTAAGAATACATTTAAATTTTCTTGATTTAGTAAAAATTTATGCACATTTGCATAATCAGTTGATCTTTTTTTTTTTGAGTACTACGGCTGATCCTTGAATTTGTCAATAAATAAAGTTGATTCAAATAATTCAATACTTTTTTTTAATTAATCAAATTGACGCAACTTTTCATTGAACTTCTTTTCAGGATGTTATCGAAGTTTTCAATATGATAACGATTCTGATGATTCCGAAGTTGATTTGATACAAAAATAATAATAAAATAATATTTAATCCAATTAAATCATTACGATTAATATTTCTAATTAAAATTTCAGATTTGTATGCACAATGCGTGATGCGGTCATAATGTTGATGAATGACACCAAATTTGTTATCGAATTATGTTAGAGATCGGCATAAAATTTATGCAAAAAAATTTTTTTTTTTTCTTTTAGCACGTCTTGATATTTCTAACAATTATGGCCGGTAATTAAAGCATTATGAAATTTTGTCTTCTCAACTAGCACTAATCCATTAAGCTAATGCGATATTTGTATTAGGAATAGGTATTTCGCGATATCATATGTGCGCAAACTTTTACCACTAATAGAATAATTCACAATTAGAACCAGACGAGACTGCCGAAGCTTTCTACATCCAAAGGTAAGGATAATATTTTACATGCGTAAAATTGACATTTTGGCTGAGAACTAAATTTATTCTATAAAAAATATTCGATCCAGTCTTGAGTAATATCCTGTAATAATTACTTAAGCAGAACTGATTATGTATAATTTGTTTCTCAATGGTTGATTTAACGTAAGATATTTGATCTCTATTGTATTATTTATTCATTTTAAACTCGATTAAATTTATTATATTTAAAATTATTAATGATTGAAATAAGAAGTAAGTTATTTGCTTTCTATTGTATTATTTATTTATGGTTAATGGACTAATTTAAATTTAATAGACTTTTATTTCTTTATAATAATAATATCAATAATTCGTAGCGTATTTGATTTTATAATATGATTTATTTACGTATAATTTATAATTTATAAACTCAACTAAATTTATATTTAATGTTCGATGTTATAGAATGTAAGATTATTTGATTTTTTTAAATTTTCCAATGATGAATATATCACGTAAGTTATTCGATTTTTTATAATTTATTATTTATTTACGCTTAAATTAAAAGTATATATATATATTTTTTTAAAAAAAATTGTTATATTTAAAAAATAAGATACGTATAAATTTGTCGTTTTATTTTCTTTTTCATTATATAAATTCAACTAAATTTAAAATTATAAAAATTATTTATCATTATTTATATTTAATATGACTTCAGATAGTAAGTAAATTAATTTTACTATTACATTTTATGTATTTGACTATTATTTATTAAACATATTTAATAACTGATAGACGATAAGATATTTAATTTATTAACTTTATTTTATAGAAACTTATAATATTTGGAAAAATCATAATTGAAATGATTTTGAATTTGAAGATTAAGATATATCATTTTTAGATAATAATAATTGAAGTACTATTGCTAGTTTACAACAGAAATTATTAGCCATAATGCTTAAATTTTTGGAAGAAATGGCTTTTAGAAATTCTCAAGATTTTTTGGAAATAAATAATGATGAAATCAATTGGAAAGTTGCTAATTTCAAAAAAATCAGTTATTACAAAATTGATAGAAAAGATATTATTTATCAAATTAAAAACATTTATTTCTAAATAATTATCTTGTATATATGATTAATAATTAAATACAATAAATTATTAGAATATGACAAATTGATAAAAATATTTTTTATGAATATAAAAGTAGAAAACAAATTAATTCATTTTAATTTTAATCTATATGTTAAATATAAATAGTAAAAATCTGTTAAAATGAGGGTGATTTATTATTATTGCTATTTATTTTACAATAAACATAAATATTTTTAGTTGTAAAAATAATTATATAATATTTAATATGTTTAATTGGATAAAATATTTAAAAAATATATTGGATTTTAAACTTATCAAAATTTTAAAGTTGCTGATAATATACAATTATTATTATATAATAAATATTGTTTATAATATTTTAATTTATAAGGTAAATATAATAAGGTAATAGAAAAACTTAATTTTTTTATATGTAGAAAAATATAAAAAAGATGGCAATTTCTATTTGTATACATATATATTGTACACAAATCATGTGATACAACCAGCAATTATTATTACTTTTATTAGCATAAAGAAATTAAGAAATTACCTATGTGATAACCATGTGATAGATGAGAATGATGAATAAGAATTTTTCATTGAAAAAATTCTAAGTTTCTGAAAAAAATAGTAAAAACTAAAGATAAAAAAGTATGATATTAAGGATAAATACTTGTCACATAATACAAATACATATACTCTGTATAAACTTAGAAATTTTCAAAAAAGATATAATAAAAAAATTTTAAATTTTGAATAATTAATTTTAAATATAATAACATTTAAAGAAATTAATCAAAAAAAAAAATAAATTCAAATTTAATAATATTTAATAAATCTATATTAAAAATACAAATTTTTTTATAACAAATTTTTTAAGTTTATTTTTTATAAAAATAATTTATTTGAAAAAAGAATTATAATCAAAAAAATCAAGTATATGAAAATAAACAAGAACTTAAAATTCTGATTCATTTAAATATTATTAATAAGTTTTTATTTATTTTTTGATAGATTTATTATTACTTTAAAAAAATTAACTTAAAATATTAATAAAATAAAAATATAAAAATCTTAAAATAAATCTTTTAACAGATTATTAGTAAAAAAAGTTAATATTTTTTATTTCAATGATTTTTATTTCTTTTTAATTGATTTTACTTTATTATTCTAATTTTTTCTTTTTCTTTTATAAAATTATGTATATAAATTTTATATTTATTTATACATAAAATAATATATAAAAATGTTTGCAATTTTAATTTTTTACAAAAAAAAATAACTTATAATATAATTTATTAATAATAATATAATAGTGATTTTATTTTATTTAAGTATCAGATTTTATAAAAATTTATTAAAAGGTTATTAAAAATATTTAGTAAATTTTTACAAATATGTTTAAATAATAGGAATATTAATAATTTATATAATATTAAGAAATTCTATTAAACAATATTATAATTTTGAATTAAAAAAGATCTAAATTATAATAAAATATTTATAATATTTTAATAATTTAAGAATTTTAAATAATAATAATGATTTTTTTTTATAAATAAAAATGCTTTTAGTATTTCTTTAAAACTAATATCTAATAATAAATTTTATAATTTTTTATTTATTAAATTTATTATTAATATAAATTAAATATTAAATATTTATATTAAGAATATTTTTATTTCATATCAGAGAATACCAATATCTTTCTCCTAATAATATGCTAATATTTTTAATTAACCTTAACTAATCTTAACAAATCCTAACAAATCCTAACTAATCTTATTTAACTTTAACTAATATTAACTAATTCTAATTAATCCTTTTAATTCTAACTGTAATAAATAGATATATATAATAAATAAGATTTTACTACCTAAAAAACTAAGTTCTCTAAATAAATAATAAAAATAGAAACTTGAAAGGTATGATATAATATAATACAAAAAGGAGAATAATATCTTTTTTAATAGTTTATTGAATTTATTTTATTAAGTCATTATTTTATCATAAAATTGTAATATTGATCAAGTTACATTAATTTAAAATTTTAAAGTAATAAAAATAAAATTAAAGAACATTTTAGTAATAATAATTAAAATTTAATTTATTAAAATTAAAACATTTATTTTTTTAAAAAAATAAAAATATATAATTATAATTTAATATTATAGATAATAAATTCTTTCAAACTGTATTTTTAATGTTATTTTAGTATATAATATGTAACAATATTAATAATTAAAATTGTATATATAATTAATAAAAAAATTTAAACAATATATCTGTGTATTTAATGCATCCTTAGACACATAATTATAATAAAATATTTATTATATTATATCATACCTCTTAAGTTTCTGTTTTTACATTTTATTTAAAAGACTTGTTTTTTTTGAGTAGCAAAATCTTATTTGTCATATATATCTATTTGACATATTTAGAATTAGTTAGAGTTAGAATTAGGGTTAATTATGATTGGTTAGGGTTAAGTATTAGCATATTATTAGTAAAATATTACATGTATATTACATTATATATGGATATACTAAATGCATAATATATTAAATAAAACTTTTCTTATTAATCATTATAATATTTTTAGAATTTTTATTAACTTAATATTTTAATTTTAAAATAAAAAAATATAAGATATTAGATAATTTTAGCTAAAATATTTTATTAGTTTAAATAGAGAATATATGTATAAAAAAAGGGAATGTGACTGAAAAAATAAAACTAAGTTAATGTTATATTTGAATATATTTAATCTAAAAATTATATTTGGCATATAAAAGTAAAATTGATTTTTTTTGGCAGTTTTTCCCCTTGCTATTTTAAATATAATAATTTATATTTATTATAATTTATATTTCTTTTTATAAATTAATATATATTTATTTACAGCATTTATAATTATTAAATTTAATCAACATAAAAATCTTAAAAGTTCAAAATTACATTAATTTGATAAAAATTTTACAACTATTTATATACCCATATATTATCTAATTTTAATCTAGGATTTTGTAAGTAATTTGCCAATGAATGGTGAAAATTAGCTGAATACTTGAAAGTTTACCATTTATTTAAATCTATTATTTTTTTTTTAACTTTTGGTAAAAAAGTGTGAAAAGAAATTTTTTTAGGATATCCTTTTCCTCAACATCTATAACTACCTAATAAATTCAAACTACTAATTTATATTTTATTTTTTATTGTTTATTAATTAGATGTTATTGTTAAAAGTCTTAAAATTAATTAAATACAATGTATTGGCTGCAAAATTCAAAGTATTTAAAACTTTCATATTTTAAAAAAAATAATAATAATTGTAAAAATAAAAATAAAAACATTCTTAAAAGTTTATTTTTCTTAAATTTTTTACAGAACCATTATACTGCCTAACCGGAAGTGTCTTACGCTTACGCTTTGGACAATTAAAAGGAATGATAAATTATTCTTTACGAATTTACTTTTCATTATTTAGAAAAGTATAATATCCATTGCAAATAGTGACTTAGTTAATTTCATTCACCAGATCAAAATTTCAAACAGATAGTTAGCGATTGATTTCTATTCTATGTTACGTCATTACTAATTTTGGGATTTGTTTTGTCGATCGTCGTGAGTTAATATTTACAGAGATTTTTTTAAAAATATCTTTCCTTCGTTTCTCGCATACCAGCTTTCGTCGTTTTTTTTTTCAATATATCTGGTTATCTATTAACTGTTGATACAATAAATACAATAAATACTTTGACATACTTTAGCCTTCCTAAATATAATTAATACAATGACATGGACGTTCTGCTAGTTAAGTATATTTTTTTTATATAATTTTGAAATAGACTTATTGCGATGATTAAACCGTGTGACTGGGCCTTTAAGAGATAGATGTGTCTAGTACACTTTTGCTTTTCACCTCTTCTATTGCTTTGGCTAAGAAATTAGATTTATCTATTTTTCATATGTCTCGTCGCGGTAGTACGTGTAATAGAGCCATATCTCTATAGTGCCTTTATCACGTCCTCTGCACGTTAGTAAATATCCTCTGCACGCTTATTAGCACGATATGATATTTTCAACACGATATGGCGTTGACAGTCCTCTGAGCTTAAAATATTTTTATTTCAATATGTTAAAATGTATCCTTCTTTGCTAATGATGTATGTAAAAATCTACTTGCAGATCGAAAATTTAACCTAGCGATAAGCCGAAATAATGAAACAACAAAGCATAATGTATTGAAATGTTTTATTAAAAATTAATAAGCGTTAAAAAGGAAGAAGAGAATTTGTTGCTAAATTTAGTGGGTAAGTAGTTCTTACTGAGAAAATTTGTCGAGTCGTTGTGTATCCGAAGTTACACTATATTAATGGGAATTGAAAGCTCTTCGTGACCAAAGTTGAGTGGGGGCATCTTTCTCTAGTGAAATGAAGAAACCTTGAGGGGAGTTTCTACGATGAAGGTCAACTGATTCGGAATGAAGGTTTGATTATGTATCTCCTTCGTAAAAATCATAGAAACTTATAAATTCATGGTGTATTTGTTTTCTACTGAGAATGTTCTTGTTCTTCTCCGTGAACGTTCTTCCCTCCTGTTCCGATGCTTCCACTGGAAGTAATAGGATACACGAATCAATGAATCGAAAGCTCATCGTGGCCACAGTCACAACCGACTGTGAACGTTCTTCATGGCCTTGATGATTATGTCGCAAATGCTTACATTTTACAGTATTATTATTTATTTTATAGTTGTCCTTGATTAATACATTATCGGGAATTAGTTTGTGGTATTAGTTTTTAATATTTGCGTTATTTGAAATAATACTCTCCACCTCACCTCACAAAAATTTTAACTTTTTTTCCTTTACCCTTCCCTTATATATTTTATTATCCTCGGGTGTGTATTTTTTTATTAAGTTTTTTTAAAAATGCATCACTATTTCTTTCAGAGTTTCTTTTTTGTAGGGTTTTTTTGGACCATATATTAATATGAAAAGCTTCTCTATTACGAAACTCTCCGGACTGTGTTGTGTGTGGGGTCTACTGATTCTCCGCGACCAGTCTGATCAATTTTAGGCAGCGAAAAATTTTATTTCGGTGTGTGTATTTTTATTTTTATCATTATTTATTTATTTTTAATTTTTTGAGGTTACCTTTTTGGTTTACTAATTTTTTTTAATACAAGCGGACGGATAACGGACGGATGGAACGGAACGTAAATATGAAGAGTAGTTTCAAACGAAGAAATCGGAAGCGAGGATACGAAGTGTAGAATTTGTAGAAAGAAAATCGGACGAGGAAAATATGGTATAAATTTAAATAATTTATTTTATTTTTTAATTTTTTAATTAGGGTGGGATATGGAAATGTAATGGGTATTTTATAGGAGGGATAAAATGTAAAATATAGAATGTAAAATGTATTATAATTGAAATATAATAATTTATATAAAATTTTTTAATAAAAAAAAAATATATATTTTGATTAATTAAAATTAAAAATAAAATTTTGGTTTATTTTATTAAAATTTTTGCTTCAAATGTTTCATTTGTTTGATTATTCCTTGATCCTTAAAATTATAACTACATCATTTCTATTTTGTAAAATAAAATGAAAATTTGCATTAGCAAAATTCTTTGACTATACCATATAACAATATATTATTTTATTTGAGATGGTACGAAAAACAATACGTACGTAATTTTGGATTCTTTTTCAAATTTTTCTAAATAATGCATAAAATCAAATCAAGTTGTCCATCTGATCGATATCATTATGACTGGTGATTTCCTCTATTTGATTAATAGAACTAGCACTCAAATTATACTCACCAACTGACAGGATGAAATAACGTTACCCACTCTATCATTTTAAGAATTAATGAAATAACCTCTTCAATATCGGGTCTTTTATTGGAATTATCGTCCCAGCAATTGTTGGTACTCCAAAGGTTCATGTCAAAGATTCTTCTCTATTCCCATCAAAATATAACGCGGAGTATTCAAAAATGGCGACTTTTTTTATGGCTAGAATGGAAAAATTACAATTCAGTGATTGTACATCTTATCATTGATAATCTCACTTGATTTTTCCGATTGAAAGTTTAATTTGATTACTTTACATATTATATGTTTTGAAATTTCTAAATAAGAGGATGTGGACAAAATTTACTTAACTTATGAATTCTTTAGATATTAAATTTATTCTAAAAAAAAAAAATTATTAAAAATGAATATTTATTGTTTAAATGCATTTACAAACGCAATCAAGATGAATAATACAGTCCTAAATATGATAATGATGGTTACAAAATTGAACGAGTTCTTCCTTTGCAATCATTTCACTCTTATGGATCGTTCGACAGAGAATGGACAATGCCAATAATTCTCACGTTTCAACTTTTGTGATAATAAGATCTATCAGATACGATGATTGTAGCATAGCAAAAGATTTTCTAAAAATTGATTGATACTTTGTTATATCCACCTTGAAAGTTATGAATATTTAAAGCCGTAAATATACAAAGGCTTGTAATACGACAATCCAGGTACATTTATAATTGTTAAAACATCATATCTTTATTTTGTCTCAATGTTGAAATTGTTAACATAATAGAAGAAAAACTACATATCAAAATTTTTTTAAGCGTCCTTCACTAATGCTTTTATAGCATCAGTGATAGAAATAGGAGTGAAGCTGAATTTATCGTTATCTGTCTTTGCGAATCGCGCGTTTTCGCAAATATGGGCTTTCAATTCCTCAATTTGGTGAGGGAACTGGGTCGATCTTTTCTCGGAAACGTTTTCGTATTTCCCTATCTTCAACAACTTCCCACTTGGACCCTTCATAAAATTGTCATCATTAACTACCGTTTTAAATGTAAATGTTTAGAATGAATAGTTTGAATACTCACCAGAAGCTTCTTCAAACTTTTTAAGCAACTCATTGAATGACAATGTGGCGCCAGCAACTCTGATACGAGCGTTCCGAGCATCTGGGATTTTAAGTGACTCAACAGTGTATTTACCAACATCATGTAAAGAAGTTGTAGAAATAGTTAAGTTTGGATCCGTAAAGAACGTGGCTTTCTTCTTCTTAATGTCAAACCCTATCCAGTCAAGGTATTCATAGAATAGCCCGGTGAAGATGATCGTATACTCAAGTCCACTTTTTTCAACTTCTGCTCGGAATTTTGCTTTGTCGTCCGAGAATGGATGAGATATACCCCTTCATTAAAATGAAATCAATTAGGACTCACAATAACACAACCAAAAAAAAAAGATGATCAAATAACGTACTGATACTCGCTACCAAATTCAGACGGGATGAATCTCTTTACACCGGCTTCTTTTGCCGCAGTCAATAGTGGTAATTGAACTTCGTAAAAGCTATGATAATTATTATCTTGGTTGCTTTTTACGGTACTGACCAGAACATCGGTTCCTTTAAGAGCTTTGACAAGCTCATCTTTTTGACTGTAATCCGCAAATACGATTTTTGCGCCTCTTTCGGTTAACGAACTAGCTTTCGCGTTTACGTTTTCCGGCTTTCTTCGAAGGATTTTCACGTTGTAAGATCCATCATTCAAAAAAGCGTCAGCGATTCGATAACCTAATGTGCCGGTGGCTCCAACAATGGTTACGTTGCGAAATGGTGAATCGCTCATGGTGGTTCGTAGATATTGAAAAAATATCTTTTTGTTTAAACTTAGAAATGACAATTTTTCATGCAAGTCGAGTATAAACTTTCTTACGAATGGTTCAGAAAAAGGTGAAGCAGCTTAATAATTTGCGTGTTATACAAATATTAATTAATAAAATTACGCCTGCCGATCCCTTACAATATAAGGGATTTTACTTTGTAAGAAAAAATTTTTTTATTTAATTTATTTAATTGTTATAGTAATTTGAGAATGTCACGCATTTGAAAGACAATGAACAAATATTATCCACGATCCAGGTTATATACTAGAGAAAATTGTTTTTATTTTATTTTTATTTTTTTTTGAAAGGAATTTGTTGTAAATGTATTAAAATGGGTTTTATAGTCAATTCAATCATGAATACTTACCATGCATGATATTGAAAAAATTTTTATTGAGGGATGAGTCTGGTTTCTATTGTCAATAAAGATGATAGAATTTCTATTATCGTAAGTTGTGCGAAAAAATGTATACCTGAATTTTTGAATAATTATTTTATACCCATTAAAAAAGAATACGTTCAAAAAAGAATACTTTCGTAAAAGAGTTTACTACAACTTAAAATGATCATTTTTTATAGAAATTCGATTGGAGATAATGAAGCTTGATTAGCTCTAATGGTAGTATGGTAACTGCAGAATATTTGTTCTTGATAACAGTTAAACCCAAGAACAAGTTCTAATGCCAAACCTGTTGAGGTGGTCGAAGACTGCTTTAAATGAACAAAGATTTGAAGCATCATATTTATTCTTAATTAGTTCAGTTTCTTCGCCTGGAAGTTCATTCGGAAAGTTCATTTGGAACTGCGATGGTATTAATTCTTTAACATTAATTAGAACGCAACTACCCAAGTTGCATTAAGGATACCAATTTTAAAATCAAAGTATTCAAACACATTAAAAATCATCCGTAATAATACTAATTCATTAGGTTCGCCTACAGTACCTAAATTGCACTGTAGTCTCTCTTTATTATCATCAATCCTTTTTCTTTCTTTTGATTTATTTCGATTGAATCAACATATCAATTCACGTACAAGTGAGTATACAAACTAAATAGAGAGTGTAATCATTTCTTCTAATTAATAAATCCTTATTGGTATCGCATAATCTTTTCTCATTTAATTTGAATGAACCAAAGGAAGTCTACATCAGAATGATTATAATGCTATATCATTGGTAAAAGATTTACTAATTTTACTTGGTTGTGGTGAGTATAAGCGTTGTTACGTCTCAAAAATGTTTTTTTTTAATGTTCATTCCGTTAATTGATTCTTGTTCCTTCGGAGTCACAAAAGTGTATTAAACTTTGTAAACAAAACCTAAAATTCTTGGATAGTAATGTCGTCTTATAAAAAAAGTTGCATTCATTATTATAAATGGTCTACGGAATCGTGTAAATGTTTTTGTAATTTTTTCTACGAGATGTAAAATTTTGGAATATGTAAATTAAAGAAAATGTATCAAAAATGAAAAGTGCCTTCTCGATTTTTTGAATTAAAAGTTTCAGCGATTATAACAAAATTATTTGATACAAACAAGCATTATGTAAAGAAAATATATCACTAATATTTTAGATGTCCTGTTCCGTTATGGGAAATTACAAGTGGCATCCACGATTTTTGAATCCGCCACGATATCGGAAAAAGATTAGCCAGTTGAACATCCACCTTTGGAATATCATGAAAGCTAGAGTGTCGACGAATGTTGAAAAAGTTTATGAAAGATTAAGGTAAAATTCAATACAAGAGAAGTTATAATGACGCAGACCATAGATTATGAGCGTTTTGAGTTAAAATTTATTTGACTAACTAAATATCAATCTATTAATATTTCAAATAATTACAAATGGATTCAGAGTTATGTATTTTTGAAATTAAAATATATATACAGTATACACCAAGAAAATTTTTGTAATTCAAAAGAAAAATTAATGATTTAGATCTAGAAATTTTGTATTAAACAAGTAGAAAATGGTAAAGTGATATGATTATTTAAAGATTCGAATTGATTAAATTTACGTAACAGTGTTTTCTTAATAATACATTCATCAAACTTATTTTGTACTTTATCATAATTAGGATCTTAACATCAATAATTTTTTTTTTTAAAAAAAATTAAATCCTCGGCGCAGTAATTGATTATCAAAGAGTTCTACTATAAAAGGTAAAGCTTATTTATTACACAAAATGCGCCATGAAAAAAATTTTTCTTTTCAAACTCCGTGAACTTTAAAAATACGTTTTTCAAATGCCATAACATATTTAACTTTTTTTAAAGCTTTTGTTATATACTTAGAGAATAATAATTGAAAACATGGAGTTAGATATCAAGGAAAGTTATTCCAAAAATAATGAATTAAATTCTAATATAAATAGTTTATTTGGCCTATGTTCAGAATGTAACAAACCATTTACAAGTTACGGTTGGTGTGAAGAATGTAACGCTAAACGGTTTCAGCAAGATTTTCCTAATTGGACTAGTAAAAATGAGTTTATTGACAGATTCATTCAAGAAACTCAACGGAATTCAAAGTTCAGTAAAGTATTAGAATGGATTCCTTATAATAATTTTGAAAACATCGAGTACCTTGATAAAGGGGGATTTGGTACCATATACAAAGCCACCTGGTTAGATGGATTTATCGAAAATTGGTCTAATGAGAAAAGAGAGTGGGATAGACATGAAAATTGGACAATAGCATTTAAAAGTTTTCATAACTCGTCAAATCTAAATGAGGAATTTTTAAATGAGGTACGATATTAATATTTTATACTTAATTTATTCATATTTTATTTTATTAATTTTGATTTATTTATAGTGGAAATATCATTATATATGTTATGATCCATTAGAGGATAATATTGTTCGATTATACGGATTTACTCAAGATCCAAATAATTTAAATTACATGGTAGTAATGGATTATGCAAAGGAAGGAAACTTAAGAAGATCTTTACCTTATATTGTAAAAGAAAAATGGCATTTTAAATTAAGATTGTTGTATAATATTATATGTGGGCTTGATACAATTCATAAAAAAAACCTTATTCATCGTGATTTTCATGATGGTAATATTTTAAGGCATGATTTTAATGTGTTTTCGATTAATATTAGTGATTTGGGATTATGTAAACCTGTAGATTATTATCAATCTCCTTCTAAAAATACTGATATCTTTGGTGTTTTACCATTCGTTGCACCTGAAGTTTTAAGAGGTCAACCTTATACTCCAGCTAGTGATATATATAGTTTTTCTATGATTATGTGGGAATTTATTTCTGGTGTTTCTCCATTTAGTAATAGAGCATATAATTTTAAAACTTAGTTTAGAAATACAAAAAGGAGAACGTCCTGAAATTATTAATAATCCTTCACAATTTTATATAGAATTAATGAAAAGATGTTGGAATGATGATTCATTTAAAAGACCAACTGCAACTGAAATTAAAAATATTATTAAAAGTTGGTTGGATTTATCAAATTGTTCTAATATAGTTAGAATAAAAGTTGATAACAAATTAAGATATAATAGAAATGATATTAAAGATCATACAATAGTATTTAATACAAGTCGTTTACTTAATTTTACTGAACAGTTAAATGAAATTTTGGATCTTGAAATTAAAAATTTAGAAATTAGTAAAAGTATTGGTAATTATCATAAGATTTATATATTTATAAATTTAAGTTTTAAAATAATTAATCTTAATATATATATTTTTTGAAAATTTATAGAAGCTTTAAATATTACAAATGATGAATAAATAAATTAAGTAAGTAATTTAAATTAAATATTAATTTTTACAATATAAAAATCTAATAATTTATTAATTTAATAATATAAATTGATTAAATATAATATAAAAAATTTTATTTTATTTAACTAATATTAAATTTAAGTAATTATATACAGTAAATATAATAATTAATTTTTAGTATATATAAATAAAAATAAAAAAAACTAACAATTAAATAATTAATAATTATAAAAATATTATTCTTAATAAAAATTTTAATAATATATATGTATTTTAAATTATTATTATGTTGTAATACTAATTTTTTTTTTATATATTTTACCTATATATAATGCTTTATTCATTAATATAAAAAATATTATACAATATTAATCAAAGTTCTAAGATTAGATATTAAACTTTCAAATACATTATCAAATGATTAGATTAGTAAATTATATTTATATCAGAGATTAAAAAATTCTCATAAATTAAATTAAAAGCATTATTTAAATAAAATATTACTAATTTATATATAAATTATGTATAGTTCCTGGCGAAAAAAATAGCAGTGAAAGATCACATCTATTTTAGACTGCAGTTTCACCACTTTCTGGATTTAAACATTTGTTTATATGCCCAAATCGTACTTTGGAATCTGAATTAAAAAGGTAAATTAAAAAAATAAGGTTTGTTATTTATTTATATTTTGATTTCCTTTCTAAAACTATGCCAAGCTCTTTAAAAATACAAAGAAATTCTGTTAAGTCACTTTGGGACTAAAAAGTGCATAATGCAAAGGAAATTTCTAATTGATTGTGCATTTTTTGCACGCATGTGAACGATATGTTAGTTTACTAAATAAAACTGGCAAAATTTCTATTAGTCACTCTTCTGACCATCCAAGGAAATTGGCTTCAAATCAACGTTGCCATATTAGAAAAATTCTGCAACATAATCATTTTACTACAGCAGGTGAACTTAAGGTAAAATTGGAAGAAAAAGATCCTAACCTTGATGTTAATAAATATACGATAGATCGTGAACTCAATAATCTTGGATATATTTCTGTTCTTTCAAGAAAGGTTTCTCTCTTGACCCAAAAAGTGAAGGAATTTCATTTGTCTTGAACACGTGATCATTCACAATACAATTAAAAAAAGTTGTTTTTTCTGATAAAAAAACACTTCAGATGTTTAGAAATACTATGTATGTATGGTCTCAT